TTTAGAAACTCAAACAATACTCACTTTATTATAAATGCTTCTCCAATCTTCACAAATCGAACATAACAGTGGCCTTGAGAGATAAAGACTTAAGTGCACTTTTTTGAGAAGCAGTTTGCCATGATTTTGAATAAAGTAAAAATTAAATGAATTAAAAAAAATACATGTAGCCTTCGCTAAATGCTTAAATTTAATTCAGGTAAATACTGTCCTTTCTTACCGTTTATCTACAAATCTACTCGTCATTATATTGAGCTGTGGATTTTAAGAAATATGTATGCATGAGTCGTGTATTCAGTGTATATTGCTTTTTTAATTGTATGTGCTTATATGTCATATTAAGACTGAAAAAAATTTTTGTCTTCCGTTTAGGAAATAATTATAAAGATTATAAGGTAGTGGATATTCTTTTATGTAAGTCTAGTATAGAAATGTATAAGGAGATTAAATGAAAAAGTGCTATTTTGTTTGGACTTTTTGAACAAATCTAGAGTTATGGAAAAGAAAAAGTGAAGGAGATATACATGTTTTTGAATTGCATTAATGTTCGAAATTAAACAAGGGCACCGCCAAGCGGAGCATCCCCTCGCGACAGCAACTTCACTGGCAATGGCAATATCTCATAAGAGATAAATTCTCTCGAGGGACGTTAAACATGTTAAAGATTGATAGTACAATGTTTTTTGTTTAATGTCCCTCTCAGGATTGTTTTCTTCATATGAAGGCTTGCCGGTGGAGAGCTGCACATTCTTTCCTATAATAGGAACTGTCCGAACTGACGACCATTGAGCAGTGAGGGATCTTTTTGTGCAAGCATCTACAGGGACATGGGCCCTCGGTTTACACGGTCTCATTCGAAGGACCAGTCTCCATGTTCCACAAAGGGATTCAAACCCGCAACATTAGGATGAACTCCCTTACTTTTGACCTTTTGACCAAATTATTAGTGTGTTGTTGTTGTTGTTGATCCATTTTTTTTTTTTACAAAATGCAAAGTGTCTTGGTTAAGGGGGGGATTATTTGGGGTAGTAAAGTTTAATATAAGATATTAAATTGTTTTTCAGCACTATTTATTTTTTAAACAAAATTATCGGGGTGGGGGATGTCTATTTTTAACAAAAATCAAACTGCATAGCATAGCATTTTAGTGGGAAGGTGGGGGGATAATATGCATACGTAATTGGGCAGTTTCCCTTATACCTTGCAGAAACATATCACTTATGCTATATGTATAAGTTTCAGTATTTATAATTATGTACCTACCTCAGTATATCTCACAGTTCCAGGCAGTGTGCATTTTTTCGTAATGAAAAATAACAATGTTCATATGTACATCGAGAGGTTAATTGAACTTGTGGATTGTATTTACAGCTTACAAGAATAACATGCACCCCAAATTCCCAGACACCAGTTAGATTTTGGTAATTAAACCGCGACAATCATCAAATTCTTTTAATCTAGTTCCCGCAGACTCGACACGCCTTTTAAACTTTAAAACTGGCTTTTAAACTGGTTCCATAGCGGAAATGATTATTGTCAACTCGTACATAAAATGTCAGGGTTTCGAGACAGTGAAAACGCGATATCTAAAGAAATATTTCATTAATGAACTTGAAAATAAATAGGCTTCGTCCTTTTATACTGCCACACAAGTATGTAAACGCTGAGAATGGTTAATGCAAAGGTTTTCTTTCAGTCCTCCCCACAAGGTGTAACGGACACACTAACACACTTACACACAAACACACTAACACACACACATACGCACATTCGCGATATTATATCCCCTCCGCAACTAGTTGCGCGAAGGGATAATAATATGCAAACATTTATATTTGAGTTTTTAAAAATTATTCACAATATGAAAAAACTGTGAAATACTAAGTATATAATTTTATAGCAGCCCGGTCCTGGAGGACCGGGCTGCTCTATTCATATAAGTTTTAGTGTTGGTTTATGGGATATAGGTGTGAGAAGTTATTCAGAATTAAAGGTTACTAGTATCCAAACATTTAAATGATTATAAATCAGAATGTTCTTTCCCATTACATATTACGAGATACACAATATATTTTATGTTTCCTCATGCTGCACAATCTCACCGCAGCTCTGTTTTTGCTGAGATATAATCAAATAAAATGAACACCATTGTTGAGATGAAATATGTCATTTATTAAAAGGACGAAATAAGAAAAAAAAATATATACATCACGTAATAGGGGATCAGATCAAAAGGTAATCTCACAAATACATATTAATATACTGATCCCCTAAATTTACAGATAAACAATATTTGCAAAAAATATAAAAACGGTAGGTATACAGCAAAAAGATGGCACTACAAAAAATATGCCAATGTGTCAAATATAATCTATAAATCAATTTAAAACATATAAATGCAAGGTAGGAAAAGCTGGGGTGGTGATGGGTGTGCCAAATTTTTTGCTGTGGGCAAAGCGAGAATGACCCAGCGCTGACTGGTCAGTTACAGACAGCATCTATTACGAGATATGCAATATATTTACTTCCATAAAGTGAATCTTTAAAAATAAGTTTTTCATATATAATATAGAAAGTTGCTAATCATTTCATTGATACCCTGATTAGAGAAAAAGAAAACACCTTAGTGGATAATAATTGTCTATCCATATTGTATAATTCTTTTATAAAGTCAGATGTCTTTTTTGTCAAACTCCCAAGATTTCTTTCTACATCAAATTGACGCCTTGTAAAAAATGCTACTGATATAACACCGCTGAATGATACAAATATCATTAAGCGTTGCAATGCAGCGCTTGATGTCATAAATCATTGCATTTATAGTTAGTATGCTCATCCGCTAAATGATATCATTCATTAAGCAACGATTTAGCGGTTGAAAAGGTTAATCATTAATGCAATAATTTATGACATTAAGCATTGCAGTTGCAACGCTAAATAATATTTGTATCATTTAGCGGCGTTATATCATTGGCGGCTGCTACAACGCCTTTTCACACAGGACTAGCTACATGTATTTACCAGCAGCAGAAAACAAAGTTCACCTCAGTTCTTTGCGCAGACCCTTTCAGTCATGAGACTATTTCCAAATAAAAAAAATGACCCAATGCTAAAATATTTCATAGCAAAAAAGATATACAAGTAAAATGTCCATGGACTCGTGACACCATCTACTATTTTTTTTCTTGTTTATCATTATAAAACGTGTAATAAACAATGTGAAATATTTGATTATCGTTCTTTTACCTTTCATTTCATTTGTTCAAAAAATATAATGTACTATGAAATATAACAGAAAGGTGATTAAAAGAAATCTATGTTTTAATATAAGTCAGGTTTATTAAATAAAAATCCACAAAACAAGCTTTTACGAAATGCTGAAAAGCATTTATTACATATTATGAACACGTGTTAAACACATTTAATGACTGATTCCGAACTATTTTATTAAATTATTACGCAAAGTTATTGGTACGATCACATATTGCAGTACAAAAACCAATTAGTAATGTACGAGATTGGATAAAGATAAAACAAGTTTAACCAATTGCAGACCTACAGCAGATTTATTATATTTTTTTGTTTCTCCTCTGATTCTTTTTGAGAATGTGAGAAAATTAGGTATAAATAATTTTAAAAAAAAGTAGAAAGTTTCAACATTTACATGTTAACTGAAAAAAATAAATCAGAAGGAACAGGTGTATTCCTGTAAAATTACTGTATCAAAATTATTGTATCTATTTAAATACAATCACATTATACAAACTTTAGAAATTCGATATCTAATTCAGGTATCAAAATAATGAGAAACGGTTTAAAGAAAGAAGTCTATATGGTAGTTAAAAAATCCTTATTGAAATAATGATTGAATGTTTTAATTTTATTTTAAATTTCCCTTTGACTTTTTTTTTAAATCATGTTAAAAACTCCCATCATATTACAGCAAAACTCGTTTAGTACGAACACGGATATTGCGAATTTACGGTTATAACGAAGTCATCTTGAATCCCCAGCTGTATAAATTTAATGACTTTCTTATACGGTTATAACGAGTTACGGTTATAGCGAAGTAATTTCATAGGTCCATGTGACTTCGTTATAACCGAGTTTTACTGTATGAACTACCCTACAAGGCCCATTGTTCCTATAACGAGTTATAAGTTTTCGTGCAGTGATTTTTATTTCCCGTCCCCTCCCTACTTAAAATTTTGTTTGCAAGATACATACTCCCTGACTGAAACGAGAGGATTCGATCTTTCAGTCCCTGGTCTGTAGATTGTCAGACGCTGCGAATTTACCTGCAGAAAGAGCATAATGGAGTAATGAGCTTTGCCTCAAATAGATGCTGGCAACTACCAATACACTGCGCATAGAAAGTAAAAGTCAGTGCCATTGTTCTAAAGCACATTGTTTTAAAGATAAGGCAAGTAATATGATTAACAGCATCATTTAGAACGTCTTACAGGAGTGTTTTAACGCATTTGATGCCAAAAATCACTCAATACATAAACATCGGGACAGTAATGATATAGCGATGATTTGGTTTTAAATTGCTATAATGACACATGTTCCTGTAACACTCTCAGAGGAATATTTCACATTTGTCTGTAACTTCATTCTTTTTTATACACCCCGTTGGAAAAGTGGGAGGATACATAATGATGGGGATGTCCGTCGTTTTTGGGTAAACCCATCTCTTATCCTCACCTCCTCTTATACCACTGAATGAAATTTAGTGGGACTTGCACAGAATCTTTGTTTACATAGTGCCATTGTGCACCTCCTATAACTTAACTTTTTTATCAGACACATGTTTCGGGTTTCTTTTATCCGCAGCTACTCCTATACACCTGAATAAAATCTAAGAATACTCTATACAGATTCTTTATTACATAATACCACATTGTGCACCTCTGATTTTACTTTTAGATCCAACTCCTATCTCTGGTTTCCAGAGCAAAACATGTTATTTGCCACTATAATCATATGGGAGGGTATCATTTAGTGAGCTCAGTGCTCACTAATTAAAGACACTACCGAAAGAAAGTTTTTACAGAACTAATTTTATTTCAAGTGCTCGAATTACAAACATGCAGCAAATAAACATTTCAAGGAAGCAGAATTTGAACAAAATTTTTTAAGTCAAAATTTCGTATTTTCAACAGTCGTTACATTGACGTTGTAAAAAAACCAAAAACATTTCATTTGGTCCTTTCTTTGTCCGACATTTTTATGTCAATTGTTATGCATTTGTTTCCATGGGCATTTGAACTTTATTACTGTTCCTTTTCTCTATATAAACATCAAATTCATCAATTCATTTCATACGTATAAACAATCAAATTCTTCTTGTATATCGACGGTATTGGGTGACTCTACGTTGGAATAGGTAATATGTATGATTATTTCACTGTTGATGACTTTTGAAATCCATTGGAATTCCACTTTAACCTTGAATGCCTATCGATGTTCTATGACAATATCCTTATGCACATAAACTGTATATATTTATGATATACTATTTTGAATAATCATACCCAAGGTGTTTATATTCACGCATCCCCTTTAAACAATGTTCATATGCATGCAATTTTTATTCAGGCACAGTTATACTTAAAAATCTACTTTTTAAAATGTAGCAATCTTTTCTACTTTCAAACAGACATCCTCTTTACAAGGAAAAAAAACCGACATACACAAAAGAATTATCAAATTATGCAAAATATATTAGGTCATCAATAAACAGTATCTATTTGTTATTAAAATCAGCTACAAAAGCAAACGATATATATAAATCAAGTTAACTACAAGAACAGTATAATTATTATATATGTGCAAGAGAGGATGAGGTTAAAATTGTCAATATCTTTGATATTTATTGCCGTCAACACGACGAGATCCGCCACTAGATTTGAAGTGATGCAGAGGTGCGTGGCCAACATAAGAATTTCTGTTGTCGGATAAGGACGAGTTGGCATTGTCCCGGGAATCTGTGTTTTGTTTTCCCGCCAATGCAAGGTCTCTCCAGTTTCTGATTGGTCCATTGTCTTCCTGTTGTTTATTGTGTTGTTTCTTCCTATGTAATAATTATATAAAATACATTTATGACTGAATTAATCCAGTGTCAAAACAGTCTTTACAATTTAAAAAAAAATATTGTATTTGAAAGAGGTTTTATTTGATTTTTATTTAAAAATGATGAAATTAACCTCTATCTGAGAGGCCAGCATATACGGCAGACTTTTATAAAATGCATTTTAAATGAAAGCTATTTTCCTCAACATTCAATTATAATGCGTAATAAAAATTCCAACCGGCCTCCTTAAAATCAAAAGAAATGAATACTTACGATTTACTACATTTTCTGGCTACCAGTCCTATGATAATCATTAATAACACTATTCCAGCAATGGAAGTCGAGGCTCCGACGATCAAATGAGTGTTTGTTACTTTTGACGGATTCGATTCTTCTAAGGAATCTTCTGTGTTAGATGATGTAGTAGTGTCCATAACTTCATTGGTGGTTTCTGTTGGTTTCGAAGTTGATATACTGAGGCTTTGTTTAAGTTCAATGGTTGTTGTAGCTGGAGATGTATCTTCTTTTGCAGTTGTTTTGCCGTCATTACTTATTACCGATGTTGTAATTGATTTGGAAGTTGATGACAGAGAGGACGTCAATGTTTTTGTGTTACTTGTAGTTGTCGTTTTTCCTGAAGATGTTGTTTTGAAAGTTGATGGCGATGTTATTTGTTGAGTAGATGTTAAGCTTTCAGTTGTTGTTTCCTTGTTTGTAGTAGTTGATGGCGATGTGATTGGTTCAGTAGTTGTTAAGCTTTCAGTTGTTGTTTCTTGGTTTGTTGTAGTTGGCGGGTTGGTAGTGAATGCTTGTGTTTTTTCCGCTGTCGTTGATGCCCTTGTCGTTGGATTGAATGTTGATTCAGTTGTTGATATCATTGTAGTTGTATCCCCTGTTGAGGTTGGTACATCTTCCGTCATCTCTGCTGACTCAGCTGATGTTGTTATTGTCGACGCTAATGTTGTTGATTCAAAAGAAGAAGAATCCAAAGATGTGACCTTGTTTTCCAAACTTGTGCCTTGAGAGGTTGTTATTGTATATGTTGTTTCGTCTTGTTCAGCAGTCGTTATAGAACTTGTAGTCTCTTCCATTTGTTCTGTTGAACTACTCCTCGTGGATTCTGTGTCAGTGTGAGTCATTGTTGTTGACATACTCTCTGTTGTTGTTGTTTGTCCACATGCTACATAGATAAAAAAAATACAATTTATTATACTTAACTTTACTACATGTACTGTTAACAATTTTAATTGGAGCTCAAATCACATCCCCATACAATGCAAAAGGAAAATATAAAGTATGATAGTAAGATACTTGCATTGATTTTCTGTCCAGTTGAATTGGTGATTTGTTGAATTGCAGTAAAGACACTCATTGGTTGAACTATTCTGCATCGGGCTAATGCACACACTATCGATGTAACAGAAATCGTCCTGCAAAAATATATAAACAAGATTTTTCCAGTTTAACGTTAAGTTTTCAAATAGCCAGAAAAATTAAACACACCACATACCTTTAAGGTGAAATACACATTTCCTGAGTCGTTGTGATACTCCTGACAGTGAGATTGATATATAACAACATTATACGTGTCTGTATAACGTACTCCGTCATTGGAAATATTAAACTTGATTTCGGTCGTCCAGATACCCGATGTTTCATACAGAAGCGGGCAGTATCCCTCAAATAACGTCCTCTCTTGTAAATTCATCTGTCTTTGATGACTTTCTTCTGTTTGGTTAATCTTTGTCTGAAAAATAAAATTGAAAAAAAGTGTTATTGCCGAAAAATGAAATGATGATATAATGTTGTCAAAAGAACAAGTTTATTAACACTGACGGATTAATTGTTTGTTTTTTTACGTCCCTTTTGAAAACATTTACCGTATAAAAACGTCATACAGTAGCGGTGAAGAGCTTCAAATTTAGACGTTAACCTGGCCATTGAGTAAGGGATCATTATCGTAAAAACTTCTATCGTATCACATTAGACCAGCAATGCATTCAAGAGTCCAACAACTTTTAATTTAAAGTACATGTACAAAACTTTTGACAAATGAACAAGCACTTTCTTTATTCATTATCTTACGTTTGTTGCAGCCAAGGTTTAAATCGACGATGGCCCTAATCACTTTGCGAGACATCTATAATTGAACGTTTATTATATATTCAAATGACAATCAGAACTACCTGTTTCACAGTTAGATAGCATATTGAGTCCATGTTTTCAAAGAAATATTTTCCCATAATTGTTGCCTCTTTACATGTTTTAGAGGACAGATCACACAGTCCGGCCCCGGGAACGCTTGTTATGGTAGGAGGTGCGAGTAAATCAAAGGAACAGTCACTTCCCCCAAAGCCAGTGTCACAGGTGCAGTTACCTTAAAATGAAGATAGGGTAAACATATTGTCCACATCTGAGACGATCGTCAATAAAACGATGACTATGAAATCATTGTAACATACACAACTCTTATAATATATTTTTAAAATTTTAGAAAAAAAAATTGAAGCTTCTCTTAAAATTTATTCAATCTTATTCTTTATCCGTTGGATTTTGCAGACAATTTGTTTTTAAATAAGAAGATAAGCAAACACAGTTTCTTTACAAGTATGATATAATAAATGGCGTACCACCATCACACGTGCCACGTCCGGTACAATTGCTTGGACAGAGGTTTTGTATTGTATACGTTACTTCCGGTTCTGCCTCTTGCAGTGTGGCATTTAAAAGTACAAAAGTAGAACATTGCTGTAGAGCGGCTTCAACGTGAATCTGTGTTAGGTTATCATCGCCTGTCAACTGAAAGGAGACTAAAGCATTCTATTTTTTTTTTCAAATCTTTCTTATGCAATAATGGACAATTTGAACGAGCATAAACCGATGCACCAAGGACCCACGGGATTGAATTTTTAATGCCTAATTCTTCATACCGGTTGTGTTAATAATATATAATAGAGTCACATAATAAAAAATCACTATTAAACTTCAATTCATTCTAAGCATGTTAGCTATACCATGTTTTACTGTACAAATTATTTTATACTTTAACAAAAGATACCACAGTATATGCCAAAATCGTCATATATTATAAGTTCTTGTAATAAACCTACCCTTATGTCCTCAATGCAGTTGGACAAGGTAACATTACTAAGGTCAGTCACATGTTGTTGACAGGTGTTGTATTCGGGTGACTTTTCAAAAGCCTGTTGACAAACTATCTCTGCGTATTCAGTCGTCTGTACGTATGAAATCGTGCGTTTCTTTCTCTGAACTTGCTGAATGAATTTATTACAACGTACATGTATGAAGATTTTACTTACATCCGTTTTTCACAGGTGATAGTAACTTTTTTTCTCAATAAAATAAGTATTATAATTCAATATTTTGACATCTAAACACAATGAATCTAGAGATTTTAATCATTATGACATAAATAACTTCAAGATATTTTAACATATAATTGAAATAAAGAAGATGGGCGCATTTGGCGAGTAATCTGCAGGAATCATTTGTACGAAACATTTATGGTTTAAATGTCCATGATTTGGTTGGCTGAACATAGCTGGTCAGATTTTTCAAGCACGTCAAAAGGTTTTTTTTCATTTAATTTGAAAGACAGTGTGAAATTGTAACATTTATGTCCGTTTTTCCTTGGGGTACTGTTACATATTAATGTTTCACAAAAAAAATAAACACCTAAGATATTTAATGCACAGATGCATGATACATGTACATTATAGAAAAGAAGATTAGATTCTGAATTGATTTCGCTCGAGAACCAAACTGAACCAAAATTTATCTAATTCAAAATTTTAATACATAAGTACATAAAATGAAACTGAAAAAATAAATGGTTGTTTGCATGAAAAAAAAATTAACGCCCCATGCCGGGCTCGAACAAAAAACGTTTCGCTTCGAGTGCAGTGAACAGGTAACCAAACTTACTGAGTTATCACCGCTACACGAATACCGATAATTTTAAAAGGACAGAGAAGCACCACATTCACACATTTGGATTTTTTGGGAAAAGTTAATTTTTCGTGGTCTATGGGTCTTCTCTCCATTTTTAAAAAAAAGTGTATTCATTGCTTTTAATTTAAATACACACGAATAACGTTTCAAAATCATGGAGAGAAGACCCAGAGATAGAAAAATTTAAGAAAAGCGTGTCTAAAAATGTACCTTTTTGTACCAAATGTCAGATCTGGCCAATTTTCAAAATATTTTTTAGCTAATGAGAGCTCAATTTCAGGAAAATATTTTCCTTTCCTGTTGCACAGGAACTCTATAAAAAAAATGTTAAAATTTCATGTGACATGTCGATAAAATTTTCACTTTTCAAGTACGCCCAGATCCCTGCCGAATGCCCATCAAAAGCGCCCACGTTCTTTAAGAATTAACTGCATACAAGCAAAGGGTCTTTTTCCATGAACATATCGGAAACATCCCGTTTTCGTCTTCTGTTCTGTACAAGGTCTACGTTACACTCATACTGTTTGCCTCGGTTTGAGTTGCAGGGTGTGAAAGTGTTGTATGAGCACTGGGTTTTACCGTCCTCCGTGCATATGCAGTGAGGAGCTAGAATCGAGGACACTGATTGCAAACTGCTATAAACTAAGGAGTTACCACTGAAGAGATTTTCGTTGTCCGGAATCCTACGTAAAAATAAAATGGTTTACAGATGACATTTAACATCGGATGCATCACCTCACCTTACTTTTTTGTAAACGTAGATATTTTAACTTACATCCATGACTCAGAGAAGTCATTAGGATAAGTCAAATTGATGTCATCTGTAATCGTACTGTTTCGCCTTCTGAAATCATTTTCCCTAACACCATCAAAGTACCCACATAAACCATCAGCATTTCCTATATCCATTGCCGAGGGGAGGATCTCTAGGTCGATGTTATAATGTCCACTCCACTTCATTATATAAATGGCAAGTGATGTACCAGTAGGGAAATATATCTGAATATATATGCTTATCAATAATTACACAATGTAAATATAAAATCATAAAATCTATGTATTTTGGAGTAGTATACACATGGAAGAACATTACTGGAACCAGAACAAAACTGTGAATTACATTTGCAATCGTAAACAAATGAACAAATACTTGTCAAGAAAGCGTTTTCTCTATACAGTACATACAATGTACATGTACAAATTTTGTCAGTAAAAAGATTAATAATCTAATTCGTGAGCGATTTCTGTTAAAATTTCTTTTTGTGCGCTAGAACTTTAACCTAGTCAATAACTTTGAACGCTGAACGCTTGATGCAAGAGCTTTTGTGACTTAGCATTTATTTAGGTACTAACGTATTTGACCCCTTTAGACCATGAAAGACGTTTGCAAAATTTAACATACTTTACCATTACTTTAATTATTCTTTGCCGTGAGTTTTGAACGGCGTATTTTTTCATTGGAGTATTTCATGTGTCAAGAAAATTCTTCATTGATACAATAATGTTTTACTGTTTAACTTTGAAAAAACATAACCTTTACCATAACTCTTGAATGGTGGATTTACGGACTTAAATATACAATACCTTATGTATACATTTATTTGTTAGCACTAAATATATTGTTAACATACATGTTTCAGTGCACCTTACTTAAGGTAGAATTCTTCTCTTGTTTCGGAGTAGATAAAATATTCGATGTATATTTGCTAATATATCTTATATATTTAGGTGAAAGAGATTTACCATCTTTTTCTTTCCTCGTAACAACTTTAAATAGGAATGGTAAATTGTGTTGAAAAAACTAGCTTGGACTATATTTTTGGCGGCATGGTGGCGTATGAAAATATTTTTCTGCTTCCCAAAATGATTATAGAAGAATGAATTTAGTTATAATTTTTACACAATCAAAGACTAGAAGTATTTTTTAAATGTTAGCTAGTTTATTGATAAGGAACTTCAATCTAAAATATATCAAATAAATTAAAATTCCCCAAAAAACTACAATTATGTTAGTTTTTAAAAGCTTAAAAATCTAAGTGCAGATATGAGCAAACAATCCATAGAAAGTGTTTTTACTCTCATACTAAACTTTTTGTATATCTCTATATGACTTCTTTACCATATGTGAAAATAAGGAAACTTTAAATATAGGGCGTATATAAAAATAATTCAAATATCCTTAAAATGTAAAAAAAAAAAAAA